CGAGTGGGCCTTAGAAAACCGGTGCGCCCAGGTTTCATGGTTTCGGGCAGGGTTTGGGATTAAGGGATTAGGGTTTAGGGGTTTATTGTTTAGGGTTTAGGGTTTAGGGGTTTAGGGTTTAGGGATTAACGTTTTGGGCCGTGTGTTCCTGGTACAGAGGCTCAGCTGGCTTCGTTAGAACTTGGGTCTGAGGGCGCGTCAAGATTTCAGCCCTACCGTAAACCGGAAACCGGAACCCTACCTTTAATTTGCCAAAATTGACTTTTTTGTAGGGTTCCTAGAAGTTCGGCATATTGGGTTTTGAATAAAACCCAGACAAAGTAAGTTTAAGCTAGACTCATTTATACTCCCTCGAGTGCAAGACCACCTTTCTCCGATCCTGCGCTGCCCAAAATGCCCAGACGCTGCCCTGCTCCTCCACACCGATTGATGCAGAAGTGGACCTAATCTTGGTCTATAACAGAGTGCTGGAGGCGGGCAGCTGCCGAATCGGTGTTTTCTGGGTTCTTGCATGCATCTAGAGTCTATCGAGTCTAGAACCTCTCGGATTTAGGGTCTGCGGTTTTGGAACTTCGGGCTGAGTCTAGGGTTTCTAGAGAGGTGCAGGAGCCTGGGCCATGCAGGCAGCGTGCCTTGCCCCAAACCCCGGATTGTCACATGAAGATCGGAAGGATGGTTGCTTGCAAACCGCAGGAATAGATCCTGCTTTCATTTCACTTTGGGCCGCAAGGGTTTAAGAGCAACAGCTACTGCCCCGCCGAAATGCCCCCGAATCCTAACCCCTAAACCCCAAGCGACTTGAATAAGCTGTACACCTCAACGACAGGAAAGTGCTCTCGCCACGGCGGGGGTAGAGACACTACGCTCTAGATTCGAGTCGCTCGGAAATGTCCTGGCACGGCGGCACTTCCGGAAATGGTATTCTAGAGGGATGTATAAGGGGGTTTGCAAATGCCTCACGTTGCAGTGTAGGGTTGTATTGGGCTTTTCGAGTGTGAATAATAATGAGAACAACAATAACAACTATAGTAAACATAAGACGACATTTTTCATACTAATAATAGCACACTCTTTCACAAAGAGATCTTACGATCAAGCTGTCCTTCCTCTGCGCTTTTGGGCCCTTTCGGGTTTGGAGTTTGTAGTTTCAGGGAGGGTTTAGGGCTGGGTCATCATTGTCAAAAGCAGGATGCGACTTGCTTCCAGTGCTGTACCTTTGTGGATTAAGTCTCACGGCTGTAGTCTTTCATGTTGCCATTTCCTGCAGCATGTAACTCCCCAAGCCGTTTGGGAATCGGAGTATGGTTGCGGGGTTCAGGCTTTGGGGTTGCATGATTCAGAGGTCGGATTCCCAGACTTTAGCAATGTCCCCAACTTTTCAGATCCAAACCCGAAGCTTTAAAATTTAAACCCCATTCCCACTCCACAAGCTTGTCCAAGGGGTCGGTTGGACCCTTGGGTGAGCTGCTTCAACAGCTTCCAGGTGCCGGGGTTCGGGCTCTCCCGCGTTTCGGCCCTTCAGGGAGAGGTTCCCTGTTTTTTGGGGGGTCGGGTTCAAGGGTTTAGGGTTTAGGGTTTAGGGTTTTCCCTCTTTTTTGGGGGGTCAGGTTCAAGGTTTGAAGTCGTGTGTTGGGCGTGAAGGGGTTTGAGCTTTGGGATTCAGTAGGCTTGGATTCCAGGGGTTCAGGCCTCGTAGGTTCGAAAGAGGTTCAACGGGCTAGCGAAAGACGAAACCCGAAAACGCCCACCGAAACCTCGCAAATCCCTCAAAAGCACCTGAAGCCAGGTTCAGGAGATCAATCTCACGTCCAGCCAGGACGTTTACGACGCCTTGGCTGCAGAGCAGAGCTTGAGGTTTGCTACTTCAGGGGCCTTCATCATTGCTAATACGATTTTGGGGGTTCCTTATTATGACT